AGGCACTGCCAGGTTTGTGCTTCCCATCTGCCTGATGCCCAGAGCAAGGTGTCGGGACAGGGCCACCTGCTCCATCTCAGCCAAACCACAACCCGGGCAGGGTCCTGCTCTCCTCTCTGTGCCACGCTGTGGCTGAGCTGGGGGACCAACAGAGCAGGGGCTGCACCCCCTGCACCCCCCACCAGCAGGGACCCTCCCTGCCCCAGCCGGGGAAGAATCCCAGTTCCGGGAGGAATCCCACAGGCAAATCCAGCAAAAAATCCATCCAAGCCGGCGGGGCTGCTCCACACGGGAATATTTTGCCTCTTGGCTATTGTTTAACCAGCGTAAGGAAAGGGAAATATTTATTGTCTCTGACTGCATAAAGGTGGCTCTGGGATTTGTCAGGGATGTGGGTATTACAAAACACTTTATCGGGAGTCTTCCAACAGTCTGAAGTAAACTGTGATTGAGAATAAAAATAATAATAATCCACTTTCTATAGCAGAATAAAGTAACTAAATATGGGCAGTGAGATGCTCCCTCCCCAACCTCTCTGGCATTTCAGGAATGTAAACAGAGGGGGGTTTTGTTGGGGTTTTTTTGTTTTTAGTGGGTGGGGGAACAGAATCAAGCAACCAGACAAAATGAAAACAGATTCTCAGCTCAGTCCCATCTCCCACAGCTGCTACGACAACTCTATTAAAGTGCATTTCAGTATCACCCCTCAGGAACCTTACACACACAGACCTCCTCTCCTCTGCAAGAAAAGGGAATTCAAGTTAATACTCCAATACTTTTAGCCTTTTTATGGATTTCTGCTTTTCCCCGCCCCGACTTTGTAGCAACATTACTTTTTTTTTTGTTAGACTGGAAACGCCCCATCCCCAACAACACTGTGAATTCAAGTGCTCACGTCAACTGTCAAGGGCAACAGTTCTGGACACAGCACACTTGATTGTACAAGCAACACCTTAAATCACAATCAAGAAATTCGGGCACTTCGCCCTCCGAGGGAGCAACACGTCCCCCCTCCACCATCCATAGCATCATATGAAAAATAATAGTTAAAAAAACCCAGCACATACTTAGCTATGAACACCGTTATTTACACCGGCTCCTGCGGCAGATGCGTGAACTCGTTAGTTCTCAGTTTTATTGTCCTTTCTAGGAGCAACTGAGCAGTCACTGTTGTCTCCATTTAAATAAAACAACTCAGAGTTGAAATATATATATATAGATATATATATAAGCATTTTTTCTTAAATAACATATTTACATCTAATAGAAAATATAACTCTAGAGATAATCTTTCCAACGAAATGTAAGACGTGAAAAAAAAAAACCAAACAAACAAAAACAAAAGAATGAGTTAATGAATTTAGGACAGTTTCTAAATTCTCTCCAGGACCAAAAAAAAAAAAAAAAAAAAAAAAAGAAAAAAAAAAATAAAAAAAAAAAAAAGAAGAAAAAAAAAAAAAAAAAAATAAAAAAAAAAAAAGAAGAGAGGCCCACCAAGCTCTAACCAAGCTTTTGTCTGGATCTGACTGAAGAAAACCCCAGCACCACCTCCACCAAACTCATCGCTTCTCCTTAAAGAATCCTTGGTCCGTGCTGCTCTCCTTGATGGTGACGGTCAAAAAGTTAGAGGTCACATCAGTTACCACCACCTTCTCCAGGTTGTTGAGAGAGGGGCTCCAGGACTCCTCCTCGGGGTCCCCCAGGATCCTGGAGACGGGGATCCTGGCGATGAGGGAGGGTCGCCCCGCCGGGCCCCCCACGCCGTCGCGGTACAGGCTGCCCACGCCGCCCGGGCTCACCGCGCCGTGCAGGAGCTTGGGCCCGCCGGGGTCCAGCCCCCCCTGCCCCTTGGGGTCCAGAAAGTCCGCGCGGTGCTTGGCCAGGCGCGGGGGGAAGGTCTCGGCGCCCGCCTCGGCGCGGTTGGGGCCGGGCAGGGCTCCGGGCAGGTCGGGCTCCTGCCGCCGGGCCAGCTGGATCACGCTGTGTCCCGAGCCAAACTTGGCCGCCCCCGTCGCCGCCTCCTCCATCTTCCTGGCCTTCAGGTAGTCCCCCACCTTGTCCCCCGGGTCCCCCAGTTTCCTCTTGGAGGCGTCCAGAGTCTCCGCCAGGTCCTTGTAAAGCTCCTTCCTGGGCTTCGGGCCTCTCTTTTTGGGGGTCTCCCCGGGTTTCTCCTCCACACGGATCACCCGGTCCCGGATGCTGTCTACCTTGGGGGTGCTGGTGCTGGAACTGCCCTGGGGGGCCAGGGCTATGTTTCTCAGTCCTTCCCTAGCCCGGGACGTGGAGCCCAGCTCCTGGGGGGACCTGCCGGGATACGGCACCCGGATCCCCCTGGAAGAGTCGCTGCGGAATTCATAGGTTTTGGCTTTGGCTTTTGCCTGGGCCTGCAAAGAAGATAAATCACCCGGTGACTTTATTATCCTGCCATCCGGCCGCATAATTACAACTTACAAGAGGCCACCTTTGAGGGGAGCATCCTCCAAAGGGGCCAGAAAGAGCCCCCCGCTCCGGCGTGCAGCCCTCATGTGTGGGCTCCGGCCTCCTTACCTTTAGCAGGAAGGTTTTGGGCTTGGGGCCTCGCTTTTTGGGCCCATAAAGTTCCATTTCTCGCTCCCTAGAGGTGTTAAAAGAACCAAAGCTTCAATTCAGCATAGCTACAAGACAGCAACATATTTACAAGCACGACTGCTACAGCTCGTAAAGGCCTTGTACCTCTCCTCGAAGGCTGCGAGCAGCCGGGCATCCAGGATGTTTTCCTCGGGTTCCCAAGTGCTGTACCTGGGGGGGCACGGAGAGAGAGGAGAGCGTGAGCAGAGCCAGCAAGGGACAAGATAGATAAAATAAAAAAATAGGGGCATAAAAGGAGGGACCCAGTTCACGTTCTGGCACAAAGGGGGAGCGGGGGTGCAGCCAGCATCCCCCCGGCCCCTGCTGCAGCCCCCCCCCGGCCCCACGGGCGACTTACTTCTGCGACCAGCCCTTCCATTTGACCAGATATTCCATGCGGCCCTGCGGATGGGAAGCGGAGGATAAAATAAATACGCGCGGAGCGAAAACCGCGATAAAAAAACCGCCCCGCAACAAAGGTCCCCCC